GGCCTCATGTCCAGAAACTGCCTGGGGCCGGGCGGCCCGGCCCAAATCTGCCATCACCTGGTCCTCGGGCCACATGCCAGCCCCAGCCGGGGCCCTGACTCCCCTCATTACTCAGCTGTCACTCTAGCTGATCCCCCAGGGAGCAACACACACTTGGCGTACTCAGTCTGGCTCCACGCGTCTGGCCGCCTCTTCCAGGGAGCCCTCCTGGGAGCCCTGCCAAGTCTGGGCTCTGTCTGAGCCTTAATGGTCTGTGAGTCTGTCTGTTTCATCATAGTGGGCTGGGAGCCAGCACACAGTAGGCACTCTATAGATGCTCACCCATGCTGAAGGCGGCCAAGGGTGTGTGGTTGCAGGGACTCCCAGCTCTCCTGCAGACCGGCTGTGCAGTCCCCGACAAGGCCTGCCCTCTCTGGGCCTCAGGGTCTCCACAGCCCTCTGAGACCCTGACCCTCCACAACCAGGGTTGACTCTTGGGGCTCTGCTATAAAGAAGGAATGAGAAGGCTGAAGTTTCCTTCCAGAAGGGTCTCGTCTCCTGGCTCCCTCAGACAGCATTCCTGTCCTCAAGGTCAGCCAGGGGAGAAAAACTCGGAGCTAGGTTACAGCCTAGTCTGTTAATGAGGAAACCCCAACAGCGATCCCAAGGCACCCCACTCCTGGGGGCAGCCATCGCTGGGGGCAGAGCCACAGAGGGCCCGGCATTCAAAGCCTCTCTCCCATCCTCCATAGCGGACCCTTCCCAGCTCATCTTCTACCTTCCTGAGCCCTGTTCTCTCCCCAGCTCACCTATGGGCAATCTTACCCCAAGATACAAAGCCCAGCTCAAATACCTCCTCCTCCTCCAGGAAGCCTCCCTGGCACTCCTCCATTAGTCCTCTGGCTCCCCGGCCCCTTCTACCACTATTTTGACCTTTCATCCCCACCAGGATCCTGGCCTGTATCTTCCCTACCAGACCAGAAGTTTCCAGAAAGTAGGAACTACATTCCTTATGCACTGCTGCCTCCTCACAAGGTAACTCGGTCCAGGGCCTGGCCCACGCAGGGCACTTGCTTAATATGTGTAAAATGAAATCGCCTCCGGGGGAAAGGAAAATGATAACGATAGTAATAGTAATAGCTACCCCTTCTTGATCGTTAACTACAGATCAGGCAGTGAAGCTCAGGGCTTATCAGAGACGACACAAACGAGACCCAGGCAAAGAAGTGGCTTGTCCAAGGTCCCTCTGCTAGTGAGAAGCAAAGCTGGGATTTGGATTCGGTTTGTGTGACTTGCAAATACATGCTGTGTCATACAGTGAGAGCACAGGGGACAGTCCCCTCGGCCCCACTGCCAGGCTACCCTAGCTGACAAACGATACTGCCTCAGAAACTCCCTCGAGAACCCAGTGCTGTCCGCTCCCCCTGCAATGCCTATGTGTGTCCGAGCCCCTGCCAGGAGTCTAGCCCATGGGGACTCTCCCGAGAGTGGTCCCAGGAGGAAGGCACCTGCCCTGACGGTTGTGACAAGGACCCCCTTTCCCATGCCGACTGTGACAATTCACTCCCCACATGTGCCAGGAGTGCAGACATCGCCATCTCACGGGAGACCTCACAGGGCAGCAGCCGCCAATGTGGAGGATGGACCAGGTATAGAGGAGAGGCTCACTTTGAAAGAGGGCTTCCAGGAGGAGGTGACATTTCAGAGCAGCTTTCAAGGACGTCTTGTCCAAGGGTGACCCACTGATGCAGGTGGTTGAGGTCTGTAAGTGTGAGAGAAATGAAGCCATGCCCGGAGACCTGCGTAGGTCAACAGAGGTCAGGAGTGAGTCAATGTCAGCGCTCCACCAGACGACAGGGCAAAGAGTGAGCGAATGCATGAAGAGACCGGTGCGAGAGCAGATGCGTGTGGGTCAAAGGATGGATCAGAGGATGCTGGATGCATAGAGTGGGTGGGTAGATACATAGGTGTATATGTGAAGGGGGGGTGGAAGGGTGCGTGGGTGAGGACACGTGGGTGGAGGGGTGGATGAATGAATGGACAGGGGTGTAGGCAACGAGTCAACCGAGGAGTGGGCAAGTAGTTAGGTGACTGGATGGATGTGGGTAGTAGGTCAACAAATGGGTAGGTAGGCGGGTAAATGATCGGGTGGAGGGGAAGTGGATGGATAAGTAGGAGTGTGGGTAGTGGGGAGGAAGTGGGCCCCTCTAGCCGTGTCCTGCTCTAGCTCTATAGAGAACTCTGTGCCCAGAAACTGCCTCCTTCCCATAAGCCCCAAGCCTCAGCCCACCCAGCCTGCAGGGGTGAGTTGAGGGGGCAGCTGAGCTCTGTGATTAGGCCCAAGGGGCCCCATTCCTCTAGGACAGAGGAGGGGCTAGCAGCTCCCAGTAACTAGCTGGGAGACATTTGTTCTGCATTCTACAGGGTTATTACAGCTGCCCAGGGTTAACCCCTGCGCTCCTGGCCACAGCCCCTCCATAGGGAAGGGGAAGGGACCACGAGAAATGAGAGGAAGAACAAAGCACAGGAAAACGGGGACTGCCCATCCCCGCAGCCTTCACAGGGGTGCTAAGTCTCCTCCATTCCTCCCATTTTCCAGAGGGAAAAACTAAGCTGGATCAGCCTACCTGGAGAGGTACTTCCGTTCCGAGAGAGGCTTTGAATGAAGAGAGAGCGCTGCTCGAGCTGCTCTGAGTGTCAGTTTACCCGTCTGTATAATGGGGCAAAGAATTCCTGACTAATAGACTGCTTCACCATGAGCTCATGGAGACAAAGTGCCTGGCACATTGTAGGAAGGCCCTCAGCCACCGGCCCCCCGCCCCCAGCCTGGGACTTGGAGCAGATGGAGCGAGCGCGGGGCGGGTTGTAACCATTTCCACCAAAACTGCTTTCTCAGCGACCCCTGGGCTGGCAACAAGTGGCAAGTACCCGCACTGGTATTATACCCACTGTATAGACAAGACACTTGAGGATCAGAGAGGCCAAGCGCCTTGCCCGCGGTCACACAATGCCCGGGAAGCCGATGGGCCAAGATAGGGTCTCAGGGCCTTTGCCACGGCACTAAACCGTTTCCTTAGCCAGCTTGTTCTGGGGAACCCTCTGACTAGAATGGCAAGTAGTTTACTGTCTAACCAGGTCACTTCTGAGACTGAAAAGAAGTGTTATTAATAATTGTGTGGGGACCGACCTGGGCACACAGGGGCGCATGACCGTGCTGCCCCAGCAGGAGGCTTTGGGCAAGTGGTTGCACTTCTCTGCAAAGTGGACATGATGGCACGATTGTCGCTATGGGGCTCTCGCGATGATGAGATGCGACAGTGCCTGTAAGAGACTATAGGGCCCAGGATGCGATCGATGCTCAGTAAGGGCTGGTTATTACTACTCCTGTTAATGATAACAGCCTCTCATTCTGCCTCTGTCACTGCCCTTCCAGTCCATTCTTGGCGAAGAGTAAGCTCTTCCAAGGACACATCTGACTCGCCCGCTGCCTGCTGGCCCCCCATCCCGGCCAGCGTGAGGCTGGACACCTGGCCCGAGGTGAAGCCCCCAAGACCTGGCCCAGTTCTCTCCCAGACCTTGATGGTGCCCCCCGCCACCATCCCTGCCCTTCTTTCTCACCCGTGTTCTTCAGCACCCCTGGGACTGTCCCCAATTCTCCCCAGGACAAAGCACCTCCAAGCCTGAGCTCCGACCGACGGGAGTCTCAGTCCTAGCTGTGCCACTTGAACAAGTGCCGGAGGGCTTCGTGCCTCAGTTTCCCCATCTGCCCATCTGTCCGGCTGAGGAAATAACCCTGTCCCTTGTGGCCCGCGTGAGGATTCAGGGAACCAATGAAAGAGGCCCCGCGCTCCGTGAACAGCAAAACCTTGTCTCCTCGCCTGTGTGTCACCACGGCCCTTGTCCCCAGCCGCGACAGCGTGCGGAGGATTTCCACCAGCCACGCCTGCCTCCTCCGCGTGGACCCTTAGCTCCGGGTCTTTGCTTGGGTTGTGTCCCGACGCAGGTGTGGGCACTTCTACTGCCCTCCCCCTGCCTCTGCGCCCTTTACAACTTAAGTCAGGCATCTCCTTCTCTAGGAAAACTTGCTGGGCCCCTCCACACCCCTGCAGGCCATTAGGGGTGGTCCCTAGGGAGCTCACAACCTGAGGGGAGTACCGGAGGAGGGCAAATAAAAACCACATGGGCAGGGATCAGAGCCCTGTCTCCCCTCCTTGGGGATGACATAGCTTCTTGAACCTAGCTGTTCCCTGCCCCTGCTGGGTGGGGTTGGGGGTGCCCAGTAACGCTTTCTAAACCCATCCATCTGAGGTGTGGTCTCATTTACCTGTTCAGCAAGCCTCCTAGGTGCTGACAGAGCAGAGAACACTTAACGTGATGTCCGATGCCTACTGTTATTATCCTATTTTACAGATGGGAAACTGAGGCACAGAAAGACCAAGCAGTGGCTAGGGCAGGATGGGAAATCAGGCTGTCGGGTTCTGGGGCGCCCACCCTTGCCCACCACACCACCCGCCCGTCTACAATGAGCCTGCTGTGGTCTGCGCCCCAGCACCCCTGCGGCCTGTATAGGACTGAAAGCGAGGGTGGACTGGGAGAAAGAGAGTGGGCATCCCAGCGTGTAGACCTCAGGGTCCCCGCGAGTCTTTCCGGCATTCAAGGCCCAGGAGGGCCCGCTTCTGGGTTCCCCCACACTCCCGGAGGGAGCCGCTGGAGAGCCCAGGAGACAGAGCTGTCAAGACAGGGAGCCCCAAGGCCACGCGGGGAGCCGCTGGGGGAGGGGTGGCTGCAGATGACCCGAGTCGCCTCGCCGGGAGGGGGGAAGAGGGGCCTCGCGCACGTTCCCCGGCTCCCCAACTCGGCCCCGCCGCCCCCCCACCTCCAGCTCCCGCCGCCACTCGGGGCGGCCCGATCGGTGCCCCGGAGGGGGCCCGGCCCCGCCCGCAGGCGGGAGGGGCGAGGCGCGGGGAGGGAGCGCGCCCACACCCCGCCCCCGCCCCCGGAGCCAGCCCGCGGAGCCCGCGGCCAGGGCGGCGCAGACCGGCCCAGCCACTCGCCCGGGCTGCGCGCCGGGACGCGCTGCCGCCGCCCGGGCCCGACGCGTCCGCCCCTCGGCCCCCGGCCCCCTGGCCCCCGGGGCTCGCGGAGCGAAGGTAACAGCGCCCCCCTGAGTGGGCGTGGACGCCGGCGGGGGTGGGGGTAGGGGTGGGGGCACCCGGCACCCTCCTAGGCTCCCGGGGACCGGGGCGGGGGGAGCAGGCCAGCCTGGCCAAGGCGCCCCGGGTGCCAACAGGAAGGCCCGTGGCGCTGGCGGCGGGAGCGGCGCGCGGACCCTCCAAGTTTGGGGGAGTGTTTTGTAAGGTCCCGGGGCGAGCGGAGGGGCGCAGGGCTCCGGAGCGGGTGAGCGGTAAGGCGGGCTGCGGGAGGAGGGGGCGCGCGGAGGGCCGTCTACGCTCCTTCCTGCCCTAGGAAAGGAAGGGAAGGGACGGGGAGGGGGCGATGTGCCGGAATGTCGGGCCCCTTGGCGAGGCCGGCGCGGAGAGCGGGAAGTGGGGGGCGGGAGGGACCGCAGGGGAGATGGACCAGGCACCCTGCCCCCTCCCCAACCGCCGCATTCCAGGCCGGGCAGGGGATGAGGTCATCCCGTCCGGTTCCCCTCGGGCCACGACAGCTACGCTACGACAGCACAGCCGACAGCCGACAGCCGGCAGTCCCCTTCCCCCCGCGGAGCGACCCTCCCCACCCAAACCTCTCGCCTCCCAGAGGGAATGTTTTCTGGCCAAAGTCTTTCCCGGACTCACGATCTCGACCGGCCTCGACATTGTTCTGTCCTTGCCTTGACCATGCAGGGTCCGCCAGGCTTGAAGCCCATTTTCTAGCCCGGGAAACTGAGGCCTAGAGAGGCGGAGGGACTACCCCGAGGCCCAAATGCGTTGCGGGGGCTGGAACCCGGGACTGTGCGGGCACTTGGGCCGCGGCCAGTCCGCCTCACCCAGTGGAGGGCTTCCGCTCCAACTTGGGGTGGGGGAGTGGGGGGGCAAGAAGCTTCTCGCCCCCTCTTTCCTCTTATTCCCCTACGGCCCCTGCTGCTCCCTTCTAACCGTTCAGAGTCCTGTACCAGGGTCCGGGCGGCGTGTGCAAACAGCTTGCTGCCCCTTTCTGGCCTCAGTTTGCCCATCTCTCCACCTTGACGGGGTGCGGGGGGGGGGGGTGCCTTCCAGGGGTATGAGAGGCCCCAGGGAGTTAACGTTTTATTCCAGGGCCAGAGAAGTCCTGACCCAGGCCCGCTCACACTGTCCAGCGGTACCGGGTGTTAACCAGCTGGACACTGCTAGGGAAGGGGCTGTGTCCCTGTGAGTGGCCTCCCTGATGACAGGTGGTGAGCGGGCAGGCTCCACTGCCTGCGGGTGACCCCCAGGTGAGCGCCAGGGTGCAGCGCCCCAGCCTCTGCCCGCCCCTGATGTCAGCCAGCCACCCAGCCTCCTCTGAACCTCATGTGCCTCCACAGCGGCCCCTGTTGGCCTCACCTAGAGCGTGGCCTCAAATCCCGCCCTTGCGTCATCACCACCGTTGAGTAACCTCTTACCAAGTGCCCCGCCTGACTGTCTTCCGTAGGGTAAATATGAGGACCGCTAGGGCACTCCGGCTGCTTGGTGGCCACTCTTGCCCGGCCACAGGGAACATATCCGCACTGCTCAGTCTCCTGCGTCACCCAGGCCTGCTCTTCACGAGCTCAGCAGCTGGGCATTGCCTCCTGCAACAATTGCCCGCCACCTCCCCCCCTTCCCCCCCCCCCCCGCCACTGTGGTCCTATCCCTCCCCTGGCATTTACTAATGATGGCGACAGAATCCGGGGGAAGCTGCCAGCCACACCATTTTATTTCGCTCTGTGACTCGGGACAAGTCAATCCCCTTTCTGCACCTCATTTTTTTCACCTGTAAAATGGGTGTCGTGAGCATGAACAGGTAGTAATCCTGGGCGGGCGGGGGGGAGGGAGGCTTTGCACCAGGACACCTGGAGCCCTTCTCCCTCCGGGGCCAGGTGGGCACACGGGGCGGCCAGCAATACCCTGTAGTCAGTGTCGGGTGCCAATTAGCCGCCACCGCGGCTGCCCAGATGAGAGATGTTGGTGTTCGTATGTTGGATTCGAACCGGGGCGGCCTTACTCCGGGACCTGGGAGTTTGGTTACGGCACCTCGTCCGCTCTTAGCACTCCTATGGGAAGAGACCAGATTTCGATTCTGTCCTTGTTTTCCACGTGGGAAACTAGGTCCCGTCACACTGACTGCCCTGTCCTTGTCCCCAAAACCCGGCAGGGTCTCTCTATTGCAGTGGGCATGGGGGAGAGGTCGGGAGAGCCCTTTGAGAGGTGCCCAGGGGAATTCGGAAGGTGGGAGCATCACAAGATTGGAGCACAGACTGGTCTGGAAAGTTAAGGTGGCCATGGGGATTAGGTGGGGGCCAGAGTCCCTTTTGTGCAGAGAAGAGTGGCTACTTCAAGGTGGACCCTGGGAGAGAGGTGGGTGTAGCCACATGGCAGACACAGTGACGCCTCACATGGCATTCAGAGTGACGCCCCCACCCCCACCCGGTTCCTTCCCCGGCTCAGAGATTCATCCGTCATCCCTGCAGAGCTAGGAAATGTGGCCCATGCCGTGCACCTGCCAGGTGACCTTGGCCGAGTCCCTTCACTGTGAACCTCGGCTCTCCTTGTAAAGATGGGCATGACCCTCACAGCAAGGCTGTTGGAGTCAGATGGCGTCACGTAATGGGTGGCCACCTGCAGAGCGCTCCGTAACCCCAGCATTCCACGAGGACTTCTTGGTGCCGGGGGTGCCAGGGAAAGGGATGATTCAGACACCCCCCCGGGGGGAGGAGTTAGGGCTGGGGGAGGATCAGATGGTGGGAAGGGAAGAGAATGTAGTCAGAGAACAAAGCTAGCTTTGTTTTATTGCTTGCTTTGTTTTTATCGTGTTATTTAACCTATTTTGAATTTCAAATAACATTCAAAGGGCAGTATTGAGATTTTTTTTTATGCTTGGAAGTGGCAGTGATATTTAAAAAAAACAAAAAAGTTGAGGCACATATCTGGGTGTTATCAACTTTTATCAGCTGAGGCCTCACACCTGTGGAAGTAAGTGAGTTGCTCAAGGTCACACTGGGAAGCTTCTCACTCCCCCACCTGCCCTTACTGGGAAGGCGGCAAAGGGTGATCCTTTGGTAGGAAGGTCATCGCTAAGATCTCCTGTGATCGAACCCCTATAGATCTGGCACTTGTCTTGCGCGGAGCCCAAGCTGGGTGCTGGGAGGGAGGAAGGCCGGAAAATCCAGGCAGCTGCTCCACCTTCAGAGTGTGTCACCAATCTAGGGAGCCAATCAAAGGCCATGAGTCAGAGGCTCTGAGTTCAAGTCTTGACTAGCTCTCTTGATAGGACCTTGAGCAAACTTGGACCCTTTGTGACCACGGGAAAACCAGAGGGTTCATAGGCCCTCCAGACTACACTTTCTATGATGACTAGAAGGGATGGGGTCAGACCAGGAGAAGCTTCGAGAAGGCTGGGGCTGGGGAGGAGGTGGGGGGGTGGGATCAGGAGAGGATGGGGTGGGCAAGGAATCCCTTTTGGCACCTACTGAGCTTTTTCCCAAACTTGTTCCCTGACAACAAGGCTCCTACATTAATTTGAAAAATTATGGTCAAGTTCTTTCCTGCGGGCCTTCTCAGAGCCTTGCATATGCTCAGGCATGCAGTAGGCAGCTGGAAAAAGCCACTTTTGACCACAGGATCCTTTTTCCAGGAAGCACCTTGAAGGCGGAGGGATCTGAGGAACCTCTGTGCAGGCTGTTTACACAGCAGTTCACAAAGCCTGTGGCAAGCCGCCTCCTCCCTCCTGGCCTCTCTTGAGTGAAAGACAGTTTAACCCACAGAGGAGGGAGGTGATTTGCCCAACCTGCCCGCAGAAGAGAACGTAGCTTGGGGCCCGAGGGCTCTGGGTTGGGAGGGCTCTGCCTCACCATTCTTTACTATGTAGCCTCAAGCAAGTCACTTCACTGCTCTGTGCCTCAGTTTCTCCTCTCTAAAACAGTGCCTCCCGGGGCTGCGGCAGGGGAGGGGCGGGGGTGGGGGGGTCTCAATGGGTGAAGCGTTTGACGTCGCCTCTGGTCATGATCTCGTGGTTTGTGAGTTTGAGCCCCGCATCGGGCTCTGCACTGACGGCGTGGAGCCTGCTTGGGATTCTCTCTCCCCTTCTCTCTCTGTGCCCCTGTTCCTCGCTGCTTGCTCGCTCGTGCTCTCTCCAAATAAGTAAATAAACTTAAACAAAATAAAATAGTGCCTCCCTCAGGGGTGTCGTGTGGCTTACACTAATGACAGAGGCGATTTATCGGCACTTGGTAGGTGCTTCATAAATGGTCCGTGTATAAGGACCATTTATGCTTTTTACAGAGACGCGTCTTGAGCTTACAGCTCGATGAGTTATCCGGGGTCCCCTCCAGCCAGGGACTGTTCACAGGCAACCACAGCCCCTACTGTGTCCCTTCTCTGTCACTGTCCTTTACTTTGCCTCGTCTTGAACGTCCTCCGCCCGGAATCACCCGGCGTGTCCTCCACTGTGCGCCCGCTCAGCATTTTGTCGGTGTTCCCCGCCTGGGCCGGTGGCTATGGTCACCGGAGCTGTCCTTTGGATCCCGATCCCCACCGGGCCCACCTTCGCGTTCTCTCTTTCAGGTCTCCACCCCCTGGGCGGAGAGGGGGCTGGTCACACTTGAGGCACGTCTGGTACCTTCTCTGTGTTGGGACAGAACATCTACAGCTGTTTCCGCGGGGCCGAGAGCCGGGGAGAGACGAGCCATGCGCCTTCCACCGCCTTAGCATTGGGGGGCAGCACCTTAGGAGAGCACGGGAGCAGCCTCCGACCACCCCCTTGCTCTGGGAAGGACGGAGCTGAGAAGCCGGTCCTGAGCCCAGGCCCCAGGGGGGCCTGGACCAGCAGCTGTGAGGAGCCAGAGCTGATGCCGGGCCCCCAAGGGGCCGGAGGAACCCCCGCCATGAACCTGGGCAAGCTTTCGCCGGTGGGCTGGGTGTCCAGCTCCCAGGGGAAGAGGCGGCTGACGGCAGACATGATCAGCCCCCCGCTCGGGGACTTCCGCCACACCATGCACGTGGGCCGCGGCGGGGACGTCTTTGGTGACACCTCCTTCCTCAGCAACCACGGTGGCGGTTCGGGGAGCACTCACCGCTCACCCCGCAGCTTCCTGGCCAAGAAGCTGCAGCAGGTGCGGAGGGTAGGGGCGCCGCCCCGGCGGATGGCTTCCCCTCCTGCGCCCTCGCCGGCCCCGCCCGCCGTCTCCCCCATCATCAAGAACGCCATCTCCCTGCCCCAGCTCAACCAGGCCGCCTACGACAGCCTCGTGGTCGGCAAACTCACCTTCGACCGCAGCCCCGCCAGCAGTACCGATGGCCACTCCAGTTACGGTGAGGGCTGGGCCCACCGCTCAGGGTTCAAGTGCCGAGGCCCAGAGGGTTCGGTGGGCCGGCCAAGCCACCAGGGATCTCATTTCCCCGCCTTAGTTTGCTCCCACTGTCAAGGTCAGGTGCAAACCCCAGGCCCTGGGTGGGCTGGGGGGACAAGGGGTGCAAACCAGCTCTCTCTGCAAAGCACACTGGGGTTGAGAGGTGAGGAGACGGGGGTTGAGCTCCACCCGCCCCTAACTGGCCTCCCTGTGTCCCGGCCCATGGCCGTCCCCTTCAACGGAAGCAGCCCCCTTATGTCAGAACGACACAGTGGCTAGGGATTAAAATCCCGGCTCTACCTGATTTCCAGCAAGCCGACTGACCCCTGCAAGCTCAAGTCCTGGCCTGTATAATGGGTCCGTTAGGGTCGTTGCTAAGACTCCGCGATGTGGTTCGTGTGTCAGGCATGGCCCAGAGTCACGCACAGTACGCGCTCAGAACATAGGAGCTGTCACTGTTTTTGTTATTTGAACAGAACTTGATGGATTTGGAAAAACCACCCACATGGACAGAAGCCAGGGGCCCTTCCTGCTGTGGCGGGGAGCGGCAAGGGCCGCCTAAGGGCCGCTGGACAGCTCACCTTGGGATCCGGGGCCCCTGCTGCCACCTGGTGGCCATTCTCTGCCCTTGGCTTTGCCCTGCTGCTCAGGGGCTTCCTCCGGAGCCCGGCCCCCAGCAGTGCTGCTCAAAACTCCGCTGAGGGCTGGTCCACAGTGACCACACTGTGCCTCGGGCATGGCAGTTCTGGACCAGAGGCTGGCTCAGAGATCCTTTGCGGGGCATCTGCCTGTCCTTTGAGCATGACCCCGGCTGCTAGATCCACCCCTGTGCCCACAAAGCAGCCCATGTGCTATGGGCTCACCTGTGCCCATCAGCCACTGTCATGGAAGAGGACCAGGGACCGTGACCATCAGTGGGGACTGAGAGTCGGGACGTTTTTGAGCTCCAGGCTTGGCTCTGCTCCTCCAGACCCTATGACACTGGGCAAGCCTTTCCCCTTGTCCCACACTGAGTCTTACTTTTTGGGTCTGCAAAGTGGTAATAAGGATTATGCCCATTTTCAACTTTTGGGGTTGATAGGAAGACCCCGTGAGAAACTTCAGGGTTCACTATGTTGGAAAGATGGGGGAACCTGAGGCCAGATGAGAGAGTGATGTGTCAGAGGCCACATAGCAAGCTGGGGTGGGGCCTGGCCCTCCCCCCACCCAATTGCTGGTTAGGGACCCCAGCTATGACGCTTCTCCCCATTTTTCTTCCAGGCCCGGACTCCGGGTTCTGCACTATCTCCCGCCTGCCTCGCCCGGAAAAGCCTCGTGACCGAGAACGTGATAGTACCTTCCCCTCTGAGCCTGAGCTTCGCCGCTCCGACTCCCTCCTGTCCTTCCGCCTGGACCTCGACCTTGGGCCATCTCTCCTCAGTGAGCTGCTGGGGGTCATGAGCCTTTCAGAAGCCTCTGCAGCTGAGACCCCAGCCCCTGCCGCAAGCCCGCCAGCCCCTGCCGCAAGCCCCCCAGCCCCTGCCGCAAGCCCCCCAGTCCCTGCCGCAAGGCCCCCAGCCCCTGCCTCAAGGTCCCCAGCCCCTGCCGCAAGCCCCCAGCCACGTGGACACTGCCCCAATGGGGTTACTGCTGGATTGAGCCCTCTGGCCGAGGTGGGGCCCAGTGTGGTGGAAGAGTGTCCCCGTACGCCTGTTGACATGGCCCCTAGCAGGCCCTGGGGAGCAGGCTGGGGGAACAGCCAGGGCAGCCGCCACTATACTGAGCTAGAGGCCCGGCAGGAGGTGGCGGGGGTGCTGCCCCAGGCCCGGGCTTCTTGGGAGAGCCTGGACGAAGAGTGGGGGGCACCCCAGGCAGGCAGCAGGGCCCCCGTGCCCCGCACAGTGCAAGCAAACACCTTTGAGTTTGCTGATGCCGAGGAGGACGATGAAGTCAAGGTGTGAGTAGCTGGCCGTGGGCTTGAGACCCTGCCTGGGCTCAGGGCGCCGCCCATGAACAGCCCGGGTCCAGAGCCGGCTCCGGATAGCTAGGTGCTGCCTGGGAGGGATCGGAGAACCCCAAGCCCCTCCACGCCTCTGCAGGACAGACATGGGAGGGAGGCCGGAGGACACCAGGCTTGTGCTGGGACCTAAGTGTCCCCGTGGGCCGTGCTGGGCTGCGTTACCTAACCCCCTGCCACTCTGGACCCAGGGCTGCTCCTTAGGCTCACCCCCCACCCTCTGCCACCCCCGCCGCCGGCTGGAGGGCCCAGCCTCACAGTGCAGCCTTTGTGCTGGAAAAGCTGTCCTTGCTGGGGGTGGGGAGGGTCGGGGGGTGGGGAGCAGACCATACAGGGCCTTTGTCTCCTCTCCCAAAGGGACGGCCTGCCCCAGCTCATCCCCTAGCTGCCCCCAGCAGGGTCCCTGCTGCCTCCCTCAGAGCCCCAGCTCAGGCTGCCTCCCCAACATTCCAACCCCAGAGGAAAGTCGGGTGTGACCTCACAGAGGAAGAGTCCACCTTCCTGCGCACCCCAGACCCGCTTCTGGGTCCTGATTAAAAAAGGCTTTTTGATAAAAGATGTCCTGTAAGGTGCTTGGGGACCTGGGGGGACAGAGTCCGCTCCACCGGCTTAAATACTTTCAGCATCGGGTTTGAAAAATGAAAGAATCTCCTCCACCCCCCACCCCGCCAAACCCACACCCCCCCCCCAGGGTCCCCAGGGAGGGGAGGGGCCGGGCAGGGGGTAATGAGTAACCAGGCTGGAATGAAGGTTCTGGAGATAAGAGGCCCAGGTGGGAGCCCTTATCTGTAGTTCCTGGAACAGCCCTCACCCCAGGTGCCCGAAACCCGTACCTGCTCCGTAAGCCCCCAGGGCTGCTTGGCACTTGCCCTGGTGACAGCTGGGGACAGGTAGGCAGCCGTGGGCGCTTAGAGGTGTTTGGGAGAACGCCCCAACCCCCACCTCGCAGGCCTATGGCCTTATGCCTCAGTTTCCTTCCCTGCATCACAGGATGCTGGGAGCATTAAAATGGGCAGAAATCACCACAATCGCAGCCGCAGAGACTAGGTAAAGGTGGGTTCTTTTGTTTGTGCTTAGCCTTCGGGGTGCGGGGGTGGGGGGGGTCAGCGAAGTAGGGTCTCAGGGGCCCAGACTCAGCCGCTGCTGCTCTGTGCCTAAGTGGGAAGCTCAGGGTAGGGAATGTGCACGGCGGCCTTGCACTCCCGTGAGGTGCTGTCCGCTCAGTTGATCTTGAAGGAGGTGACCTTGAACCCGCCGTGCATGCTCAGGTAGCTCAGGTGGCTGTGGCCCATTCTGTTGGGAAAGGTCAGCTCGTGCCCGTCTGGCAGCTTCACTTTGAATCCGTCATTCTCGAAGGTCACGGTGAGCTGCAGTGGGAGGGGAGGGTGTCAGGGAGGCGGGAGGCCCTGGAAACGGGCCCGAACAGTGCCAGCACGCGTCTAGGCCAGGGTGCCCTCCCCTCTGGGCTCTTCCTTTGACCTCCTCAGGTACCTTTCGCCCCTGACCTCACCTTGACCTCTGACCCTGGGCTGAAGCACATGTGACCATCCCTTTGCTCCTCCCCCCAGGAGCCATCCAGTGAGTTGCAGACGATGACGGACTCATGGAAGCGTGGGTTGAAATGCAGGTCCAGCTTGGATGACCCCTGGCCCAGATTAAGGGCAAATCTGCAGGGAGAGGGGTAACAAGGAAGGATTAGGGACCAGCTCTGGGTAAAACTGCTTGGGCCCCGGGGTCTTGCTTGACCAGAAGCTGCAAGAATCACGAAAGGAAAGTGTTAACGGAGGTCTATGCCTTAAAACAAAGGAGGTGACAACCTGGTCGGACTTAGCACAGAGCTGCCATTCCATTTGGCACGTAGACTAAGGCTCTCAACAGGAGGGTAACGGACAGTGACAATCTCAGGAATTCAGGGTATGTATCCTGGGGGAGAGAATTGTCCTTAGGTATCTGAAGCCCCTGCTGAATTTGGCCATAAACAGCTAACCTCAAGTGGTGAGCCGCCTGTCATTACAGGGATTCAATCAGGGGCCGCGTGACTTCTGGACAGGATCACTACAGCCTGGATCAGACTGCCAAGGTCCCTGAGACTAGACATTCTAGGTCATGAATAGGGTGCCTTCGTTGGGAGTTTGCAGACCATGACCGTATACCTAAGGAACCCAAGTAGGAGAAAGGGGTGGCTTTCCTCTTGGCCCCTTCCCCACACATCTGCCTGCCTCTCCTCAACCAAACGCTGTTGGAGATCAGTCCCAAGAAATTCTATAACCGTTCTGCACACAGGAGAGCCTGAATGCTGAGCTGGTACTAATGGCGGGGAAGCGTGGCTAGTTCTGAGGGAGGGGATACAAAAGAGACTGCTTTGGCGCCCCCTGGTGGCAGTCTCTGGTGTAATGTGTGTGAAAGGCTGGCCTCTGCCCGTTCAGCTGCGGGGGGGGGGGGCGGGGGGGGGGGGGGGGGGGCTTTGGGTAGAGACACTTGACCCACAGGAGGCTGGGCAGGGCTCCAGGGGCTTTGCCACCTGGAAGGAGACAGTGTCTTTGGGGACCGTGGATTTGGGCCAATAACATGGGTTGTGACATTCTGAGGGTCCCCAAACCTAGCCTCAGAGGTGAAGGCAGGTCCCTACCAGGAGGGAGCCATCAGGGGCCCAGCAGGGGTGTGAGAATGAGCAAAGAATGTAGAAAAGGCCCCTGAGGTCACTCTCTTCTATGACCATCTCACAAGGCTGCCCTGCTGCCCCCACACCTTCCAGGCCAGCCCCGGGCCTGTGGACAAGCCTCCCTCCCCGCTTCGGGCCCACCCTGCCTCTCCCCTTCTTCGCTCACCCATCAGCGTCACTGGAAATCTTGCCCTTGATCTTCAGGGTTGACCCCGGCTTCATGTCCAAGTTCATGACCTCGAAATTCCCCTGTGCCGACAGAGAACATTCCACAAAAGGCCCGTCACACACATGCCCGGAGCGTCTCTGACGGTGGCCCCCGTCCACGGGCACCATCTCACAGGGCCGTGGGTCTCATGCACCCTCTCCGCACTCAAGGGCACTGAGCTGGGAAGGGGGAAAGCTAGAGTGCTCTGGTCAGAGCCTTCTAGATAGAGCTCCCTCTTCCCTGCTTTGCTTCCCTCGCATCCACCCAGCTGGATTAGAACAGCTGGATGTGGAGACATGCAGGGGACCCTCCATATGCCCATCTGTGAAGTGGGCACAGTGGTCTCTGCTGACCTTACAGTTCCCAGATACGTTCAGGTGACGCAGGCATGGTGCCCTTAGCAGAACCCCCAAAACGAGGGTACGTTCAGCTTCTGCAAAACCCTGGAGTCATTTTACTAACAGAAAATGATTGTATCAGAGGCGTGAAGGGCTTGGCCCATCCAAACCCAGGAATCTATAAAGCTCCGTAAGTCACATGTCTTGACGTGTCCTATCAAAGTCCCTCTCTGGACCTTACTTTCCTCATCTGTAAAATGGGTTCATGTGATGTGTTCATTCACAACCAGTGCTAAGCCCCGCTCTGTGACGGACATTCCTGGGGGCCCTGAGGTTAACAGCACCCACCTTTAGGCCTTTGGGAGGGGCAAGGTCACGTTTGCAGAGCCCCACGCATAGAGCCTGGCATGAACTACAGGCAAATCAAGGGGCAGATATCATTATGATTACATACTGGTATCATTTATTCACTCCTTTTTCCGCAGGACCTTAGCAGCGCCTATATTTCTAGATAGCACAAGCCTCCCACAGCTGCACTGTGGTTAAAGGGGGGTCTTGAAGCTATTTCTTTTTTAATGGAGAGGGAGGATGGCTGGGTTTTTTTAATGCTTATTTATTTATTTTTGAGAGAGAGAGAACACAAACGGGAGAGGGAGCCAGAGCGCGAAAGACAGAGGGAGAGACAGAATCCGAAGCAAGGCTCCAGGTTCGGAGCTGTCCGCATAGAGCCGCATGTGGGGCTCGAACCCATGAATCGTAAGATCGCGACCTGAGCCGAAGTCAGTCACCCACCCACCTGAGCCACCCGGGTGCCCCTCGAAGCTGTTGTCAGAGCTCATTACCCCACGCTTCCAGAATGTCCCTTTCCCACATCCATGCCAGGAAGGCGTGTGGTTGGGCCAGAGGGGACGCACGCGACAGGGACCTAAGATTTCGAACATTTTAGGGGAGAAGACGTTTACGTTGTGCAATTTCTGTTCGCAGATTTTATGCTCTTCCCGGAGGCAGCACACCTGAAACTCACAGGCCTGGGGCGCTTGGCTGACAGTCAAGGGCGGTGTCCGCAGGGGGATAGTCAGTGCTCTCCCGCTGACAGCCGCCTCCCATTTACCCAAGAGGAAGGCAGTCCCTTGCGTGCGCGCAATCACACACACACACACACACACACACACACGGTGGGGGGAGGGGGCTTGCCCGGCGCCCCCAGGAAGGCCTGGAAGAGGCTATGCGCGGCCCAGGATGGCGGAGCCATCAGGGCCGTAGAGCGGTGCTGTTTCTCCTGGGCACCGGTGAGGGGGGAATGACACTTTGTCAAGGGGACGCCCGTGCACCAAGGCTGCAGAGCAGCAGCCCTTGTCTGTATCCACCAGACGCCAGGGGCACCCTCCCCACCAGCTGTGACAAGCGCAAATGTCCCCAGATGTGGCCAAACGCCCCCTGCTAGGAAAGATCTCCCCGCCTTTGAGAAAACGGGGTTTATTTATTTATTTATTTTTTATTTCTAGGAGGGAGAGAGAGACACAGCGTGAGCAGGGGAGGGTCAGAGAGAGAGGGAGACACAGACTCTGAAACAGGCTTCAGGCTCTGAGCTGGCAGTCAGCACAGAGCCCGACGCGGGGCTCGAACCCATGAACCGCGAGATCACGACCTAAGGGAAAGTCGGACGCTCAACCGACTAAGCCACCCAGGCGCCCCGAGAAAACGGGGTTTAGAGGCAGGACGGCCTCACCCGGCGGGTGGATGCTTGATGGGACAGCTGGATTGCCGTCTGCAGAACCAGACAGGCTGGACTAAAATCCTCCCCCGGCGTCTCACAGACAGACAAAGAAGTCTACTCCTCGGGCACAGGGTTAGCCGGTCCCTCCCAAAGATGCTCAAACGTTATGAGAATCGCAGATGCCCCGCCACATCGCAAGCTCTCATGGATGGGTGCTTTACATCACACACGTCTACACCCCAACACACGTCTACACCCCAACACACACGTGAACACCCCAACACACACAACCCCAACTGGACACCCTGAGCAGGCAGAGTCCTCTCCTCTCCCTTCAGCTGCCTGCCCATCCCCCCCACCCCCAGGACCCTGGACAGTCACGGTGGGCCCGGCGTAGGGAAAAGCACCCCCATTCCCTTACTACCCCGTGGCTGACACAGAAGGAGCGAAGCTCCCGAGGATGGAGGTGGGGGGTGCTCCAGGACAGGGGCACAAGAAAGGCCAAGGTCAGGTGCCTCTGGATAGATAAGGGTGCTGGTGGGAGCATGCAGACCCGGGAACCTTATCCTCACTCAGCCAGGTCTGAGGCCCAGAGAGAGACAACGGGGGGCAAAGCCAGGCTGGGGAGGGGGGCAGGGGGCAGGGAACGAGTCCCGGCCCTATCCCCGGTTGGCTGAGGGACCCGGGACCAGCCGCTTCCCTTTCTGGGTCTCGGTTCCCCCATCATTAAATAAGAGATTTGGATTTCTCTGGAGAAGGAGCAGAGAGGGCAGGGATGGATGACTGGAGAAGGGGGGAAAGCCTCTGGGCCACAAAGTTCCCGCTGGGAAGTTGAGGGCGGGGAGGGCATCACCCCTGCCACGCTGAGCCCTCCAGTCACAGCCACATCCTGCATCTGATCTGTACCGGCTTCCATAGTGTCCCCCAAAAAGTCACATCCACCTGAAACCTGTGGATGGGACGTCTCTGGAAATAGGGCCTTTGCAGATGCAACCAATTAGGATTTGTTCAGGGCGGGCCTAAAATCCGATAGGACCAGGATCCGTACAAGGAAAGGCCAGAGTGGGGGCTCCTGGGGGACTCAGTCCGTTGAGCGTCCGACTCTTGACTTCGGCTCAGATCGTGATCTCACAGTTGGTGGGTGCAGGCCCCTGGTCGGGCTCTGAGCTGACAGCGCGGAGCCTGCTCGGGATTTTCTGTCCCTCCCCCACTCGTGCTCGCTCTGCTTACTTGTGTGCATGTGCTCTCTCTCTCTCTCAAAATAAATAAACTTTTATTTATTTTTTTAAAAATGTTTAATGTTTATTTATTTTTGAGAGAGAGAGAGAGACAGCGTGAGCAGGGGAGGGTCAGAGAGACAGGGAGACACAGAATCTGAAACAGGCTCCAGGCTCTGAGCACTGTCAGCACAAAGCCCGACGGAGGGCTCAAACCCACAAACCATGAGATCATGACGAGCCGAAGTCGGACGTTTAGCCAACTGAGCCACCCAGGTGCCCCAAACTTTTAAAAAAAACAAAAAGAGGGGCGCCTGGGTGGCTCAGTCAGTTAAGCATCTGACTTCGGCTCAGGTCATGATCTCACGGTTCGTGGGTTCGAGCCCCGCGTCGGGCTCTGTGTTGACAGCTCAGAGCCTGGAGCCTGCTTCGGATTTTGTGTCTCCCTCGCTCTCTCTGCCCCTCCCCCACTCATGCTCTGCTTCTGTCTCAATAATAAATAAACATTAAATTTTTTTTAAATAAAAATAAAAAAGAAAAAGAGAAGGGAAGGGTGGACCCAGAAACACAGACATACAGAGGAACAAGAGGCCATGCGAAGACAGAGGCAGAGATCGGAGTAGCGCAGCTACAGCCAAGGAGCGCCACAGATGGCCGACAGCCACCAGAAGCTGGACAGGACAAGAAAAGATCCTCCCCCGGACCCTTCAGAGCAAGCATGACCCTGCCAACCGCTCGATCTCAGACCTCTGCCCCCCAAGACTGTGAGAGAATATTGTCACAGTGGCCACCGGAAACTAAGACACCAACTAATCCTCAGAAGATGCCGTCCGTCTGTGATCTAATTCCACAAATGCAGGAGATTGAGGCTCAGAGAGGGAGAGTGACTTAACTGAAGCCACACAGCAAACTAGGACAGAGCCAGGTTAGAATCGAAGAATCAGGGACTGCAAAGAGGACCCACTCAAACTTCCGCAATTTGCAGGATATAACGTCAGGCGACTTAATCTCTGAGCCTCCGTTTCTTCATCTCTATAAAGCCCGGTAGGGGCGCCTGGGTGGCTCAGTCCGTTTTAAGTATCCAACTTGGGCTCAGGTCATGATCTCACGGTTGTGGGTTCGAGCCCTGCATCAGGCTCCGTCAGCCCGGAGCCTGGAGCCCACTTCAGATTCTGTGTCTCCCTCTCTCTCTGGCTCTCCCCTGCTCTTTCTCTGTCTCTCAAAAATAAACAAACGTTTAAAAAAAATTTAAGCCCGGGGCGCCTGGGTGGCTTAGTCGGTTAAGCGTCTGACTTTCACTTAGGTCATGATCTCGCGGTTCGTGAGTTCGAGCCCCGCGTCGGGCTCTGTGCTGACTGCCAGCTCAGAGCCTGGAGCCTGTTTCAGTCTGTGACTCCCTCTCTCTCTGACCCTCCCCTGCTCACGCTGTCTCTCTCTCTCTCTCTCCTAGAAATAAATAAAAAAAAAAAATTTAAGCCCAGTAGATGTTGACAATTTGGCAATTATTATTATTACTGCTATTATTATTATTACCAATGAGAAACGGAGTCTAGAGAGGGGGAAAAGGTGGGTTCAGGCTCCCGCAGCAGGGGGAGGTGGAGGGAGCGGAGAACAGATGCTGAAGGGCGGTGGAGGGAGCGTGTCCCACTTGGTCACTCTACAGAGAGGGAAACCGAGGCCCAGAGAGGGGCAGTGGCTTTTCTCCAGCTGCCCCGCCCCCGCTGCCCCACCGAAGCAGAGATGTGGGGAATGGAGGAGTTGGGCAGGGAGGAGGCCGTCGACCTCACCGACATGGTGGCAGCTCCTGGCGCAGCTCTCAGTGGCTCCTGGAGGTCTGGGCTCAGGATAGCACCTTACAGCCCAGTTTATGTTCTAGAATATTACACATTAACTCCCCCAAGGCCACCCGTGAGGACTTTGGCCCCTCCTGCCTGGGTGTCTCTGCACTCTCGTCTCTCAGCACCCAGAACACACGGAGGAGAGGCTCCACATCCGGGCACACCCGGCCCAGCCCAGAGCATCCTCCAGGCCTCCCTGCGCCCAGCCTCTTGCCCGCCCCGCCCCCAACCGGCCCCGCCCGCCCGGGACCAGCTGGCCATCAGGAGCCAGCAGCAGCACCTGGTGAGAACCACCCAAGGTCCTGAGCCCGACTCCCTCCTCCTCAAACAGGGAGGCTTGCTCTGCCAAAAGCTTGACGCTTCTCGTTGTCAAGCTTTTTTTAATTTTTTTTTAAATTTTAATTCTTTTATTTCTTTCTGAGAGAGAGAGAGAGACAGCGTGAGCAGGGGAGGGGCAGAGAGAGAGGGAAACACAGAGTCCAAAGCAGGCTCCAGGCTCCGAGGTGTCAGCACAGAGCCCGATGCGGGGCCCGAACCCGCGAACCGCGAGATCATGACCTGAGCCGAAGTGGGACGCTTAACCGACTGAGGCCACCCAGGCGCCCCTCCCCCTATGGTTTTTCTGATTGTACGTGTAAGCTGTAAAAACGAGACACGGCTGGGGTGTCTGGGGGCTGGGGCGCTCAGTCTGTTAAGCGTCTGACCCTTGATTTCGGCTCAGGTCATGATCTCACCATTTGTGAGATGGAGCCCCAAGCAGGGCTCTGTGCTGACAGCGTGGATCCTGCTTGAGATTCTCTCCCTCCCTTTCTCTCTGCCTCTTTCTCTCAAAAATAATAAATAAACTTAAAAAAAATAAATAGGGGCACTTGGGTGGCTCAGTCCGTTAAGCGTCCAACTTCAGCTCAGAGAAAGTCATGACCTCACGGTTCGTGGGTTCGAGCCCCACGTCGGGCTCTGTGCTGACAGCTCAGAGCCTGGAGCCTGTTTCCGATTCTGTGTCCCCCTCTCTCTCTCTGCCTCTCCCACTTGCACTCTGTCTCTCTTTCTCAAAAATAAATGAACATTTAAAAAAAAATTTTTAATAAATAAAATTTTAAAAATTGGGGCGCCTGGGTGGCTTAGTCGGTTAAGCGTCCGACTTTCGCTTGGGTCATGATCTCGCGGTTCGTGGGTTCAAGCCCCGCGTCGGGCTCTGTGCTGACTGCCAGCTCAGAGCCTGGAGCCTGTTTCAGAGTCTGTGACTCCCTCTCTCTCTGACCCTCCCCTGCTCACGCTGTCTCTCTCTCTCTCCTAGAAATAAATAAAAATATTAAAAAATAAATAAATAAATAAATAAAAGCAATACACGATGGATTCAAGGAAGACATCTAGAAGTATCTACGACAAACTTAGTATCGGGGAAAGGAGAGGGCTGAGTACGGGGTGGTACTGGGGACTTCAATGCTTCGCTCGTCTGTGACTTACGTCACTGACATGCGGCAGCTCCGGATATTGAGAGAAAAGTAAGAAAAGCAGTAAGCTCTCATAACCTTACCGCCAGAAAGACACCTATTCTGTGCATGACACATTTCCCTCATCACAGTTTTCCGTGGATTTGTATGCTAGGCAGCGCTCCGTCTGGGCAATTGTTTATTCTGCTTCATTCAGGAAACATTAAACCCCACAAATCTATATTTCAGAGCTAGATTTCAATGGTAGTGAAATATTCCATTTTCCGATGACTAAATTGATTGGACCAATTTCCTCTCGCTGAACACCTACATTCATTCTCGGTGGGGACCATTAAAAGTCCTGCTGCATTAAATCCATTTGCATATAAAATTTGCCTGTCTCCCGACAACTTATTTATAAAGGGTGGATTCCCAGAAGTGGGATTTTTCTAAAGCCCCGGTTTGGCCAAGCCCAAGTGATTTCCATCAGACCTGGCAATGGCCGCTCTGGAAGGGGCGGGGGGAGGCGAGCCCCGCTGAGAACCTTCCCTCGGGTACAGAGAGCTGACAGGTGTCTTCCTGCCCAGTGCTCACACAGGACACCACCTCCAGTCGCCTGCCCCCGCCCCCCAGGAGGGTGATTTCCTCATCTTAAACCACAAGGAAATCAATCTCTTCTCGGCTTTTCTCCCAGGGCTGTGGTAAAGCCCAAGCAAGATAAGGAGTCTTCAAGGGCTTTAGAAACGGAAACTCCCTAATCGACAGAAAGGACACCTTGTAAAGGTGGTATTTTTCTGATTAAAACAGTCAAATTCTAGCTCACGGTAGGTTCCAGAGAATGCACCAAGCAGAAAGAATTGACACGTTCACTTGTTTGGGGAGAATGTTTAAAGACAGGGGGGCACGACCACATTCTGAATTGGACTGTGTCTATGTGTTGTATCAGTGAAAGAGTTTTTGAAGGAAAGGAAGGAGGAAAAGGAAGGGAGGGAGGAAAGAAGAAAAGGGGAAAAAATCAAAATCACTAACACTTGGATCTCCAACCCTGTTCTCTTAAAAAATGTTTACCTTCTGGAGGGTATTTTATACTTTACAAAGCACCTTATCCAGGGATGCCTGGGTGGCTCAGTCGGTTAAGCGTCCCACTTCGACTCAGGTCATGATCTTGCAGTTCGTGGGTTCAAGCCCTGTGTCGGGCTCTGTGCTGACAGCTCAGAGCCTGGAGCCTGATTCGGATTCTGCGTCTCCCTCTCTCTCTGCCCCTCCCCTGCTCGTGCTCTACCTTCCCCCAAAATAAATTACCACTTTAAAAAAATGTTTTAAGCCCTTTATCTAGCTCTCATCACAGTAAACTCAACACATTTTTCAAGATGATCTTTATTACCATCCCATGGTTCAGATGGGGACGGGTCCTCTGTGCTGAGTCAGCGGCCGTTATCGCTCACCGCCCTCCCTTAGCAAAGAGAATAGTTGCCCTCCAGTCCTGTGTCCTTAAACCCTTCCTGGGTGGCAGCCCGAGATGATGCCCATGGATCCCATCCTCATGGTGTTCACACCCTTGTGTAATTGGCTCCCCTTGAATGTGGTCGGACCCAGAGACTCAAGTCTAACCAGCACAATAGTAGAATAGGGCAAAAGTGACGCGGTGTCGCTTCCAAAATTAGGATAAGACTGATTACAAAAAGAAACATTAGGGGCGCCTGGGTGGCTCAGTGGGTTAAGCGTCCGACTTCAGCTCAGGTCATGATCTCACGGTTCGTGGGTTCGAGCCCGCTCGGGCTCTGTGCTGACAGCCAGCTCAGAGCCTGGAGCCTGCTTCAGATTTTGCATTTCCCTCTCTCTCTCCGACCTTCCCCTGCTCATGCTGTCTCTCTTTCTCTCTCAGAAATAAATAAAAAACATTAAAAAAAAAGAAAAAGAAACATTAGACTGTTAGAAACAGTCTAATTAGACTGATTAGAAACAAGGACTGTCCTCCCTCCTTCCCTCCCCCCTCTCTCTCTCTTCTCTCTCTCTCTGTCTCTCTCTTTCTTGCTCTCTCTCAATCTGCCATAGCTCTGGGGCAAGCAAGCCAGCCCTATGACGAGCCCCATGTGCCCAGGCACCAATGTCTCCAGCCACCTGCCAGGGAAGACCGAGAGCCAGAGGAGCGAACTTGGGGGCGGGTCTCCCCTCCCTCCCCCAGCCGCTTAAGCCTCACGGTGGCTGGGATCGCCAGCAGCTTGGTCGCAGTCTTGTGAGACACCCAGCCACGTCCTGTCTTGATCCCTGACCACAGAAGCTGTGAGAAACCTGTTTCTGGTTTTAAGTCTCTATGTTTGGGTGAAGTTGTGACACTACAATGAGTAACTAGTACACGCGGCCAGGCCATTGCCACCAAAAGCTTGGTGGGAGACATAGCCACGAAGGCCTCCTGACTAAGGAATCTGCGGTCTGTGTGTGTCCCTAGACATTCCATCATATTGGTCTTTATATTTTGTTTATTTTTTATTTGAAAGAGAGAGAGAGTGTGTGTGTGTGTGTGTGTGTGTGTGTGTGTGCTCACGCGTGTGTGCGTGCATAGGTGAGTGGGAGAGAATGGCAGGAGGAGAGAGAGAGAGAGAGAGAGAGAGAGAGAGAGAATCTCAAGCAGGTGCCACACTCAGCACAGACCCCGAGGTGGGACTCGATCCCACAGTCCTGGGATTATGACCTGAGCCAAAATCACGAGTCAGACGCTCAGCAGACTGAGCCGCCCAGGCGCCCCCATATTGGTGTTTTTGAAAATCCAGCTCTTGGTTTTTTGTCCTTAATTCCTTCCTTTATGCCTTGTGACTCTTTATCTTGGTGTTTCTTTTATTGCTCTTTTTCTAGCGTCTCAAGTTGAATGTTCATTCATTTCCCATCTCATCTTTGTACTGACAAATGCACTTGAGGCTATAAATTTTCCTCACGGCCTCGTTGGCCACTTCTCATAGGTTTTAAGATGTTCTGCTCATACGGGGCACCTGGGTGGCTCAGTCAGTTAAGCATCCGACTTTGGCTGAGGTCAGGACCTCAAAATTCATGCATTTGAGCCACACGTCGGACTCTGTGCTGACAGCTCAGAGCCTGGAGCCTGTTTCAGATTCTGTGTCTCCCTCTCTCTCTGACCCTCCCCTGCTCACGCTGTGTCTCTCTCTCTCTCTCTCAAAAATAAATAAAACATTTAAAAAAAAGCAACAACATTAAATACAGCCAGGCCTTAGAGAGACCAAGGCTAAGTGGGGAGACGAACTTGAGCGCAGGAAACAACCAAAAAACGATTAATTGGGGCACCTGGGTGGCTTAGTCGGTTAAGCGTCTGACTTCAGCTCAGGTCATGACCTCACGCTTCGTGTGTTCCAGCCCTGCATCGGGCTCTGTGCTGATGGCTCAGTTTCAGATTCTGTATCTCCCTCTCTCTCTGACCCTCCCCTGTTCATGCTGCCTCTCTCTCTCTCTCAGAAGTTTAAAAAAAAAAAACAAAACACAATTAATTACACCCCATCCTCCCCAATGAAAGGCTGCAG